GCAGGCCAGGTATGGTAAGTCACACCTATGATTCCAGCATTTTGGGAGGCCAAAGAAGGGGAATCCCTTGAGCCCAGGAGTTTATGACCAGCTTGGGCAACATAGTGAGACTTCATCTCTATAAATAATGTAAAAATTAGCCACTCGTGGTGGCGTGTACCTATGGCTCCAGCTACTCAGGAAGCTGAGGTGGAAGAATCTCCAGAGCCCAAGTAGTCAAGGCTGCACTGAGCCATGATCAAACCACTGCACTCCAGCCCGGGCAACAGAGCAAGACCCCATCTCAAATATATATATTTAGCAAGAGAAAAGCATCAACTCACATAAAAGGAAATCCCCACCAGGCTAACAGTAGATTTCTCAGCAGAAACTTAGCAAACCAGAAGAGAATGGAATGATATATTTAAAGCGCTGAAAGTGGGGGAAGGGGGAACTCCCAGTCAAGAATAATACTATACCCAACAACCCTATCCTTCAAAAATAAAGGAGAAATAAAGTCTTCCCCAGATGAGCAAAAACTGGGAGAATTAATTACCTCTAGACAGGTCCTACAATAAATTCTTAATGGAATCCTACATCTAGAAGCAAAAAGACAATATCTACCATCATCAAAACACATGCAAGTATAAAACTCACTAGTAGAGTAGATACCTGAATGAGAAAGAGAAAGGACTCAAACATTAGCACCACAGAAAACCACCAAACTGCAATGATATACCATAAGAGAGAAAGAAAGAAAGAAAGAAAGAAAGAACAGATATACAAAACAACCAGAAAACACCAAAAATGACAGGAATAAGTCCTCACATATCAATAACAACCTTGAATGTAAGCAGACCAAATTCCCCACTTAAAAGATATAGTCTGGCTGAATGGATTTTTTTAAATGATGCCACTATATGCTGGCTATAAAAATACTCACTTCACCTGTAAAGGCATATTTAGAATGAAAGTGAAGGAATGAAAAAAGATATTCCATGCAAGTGGAAAACAAAAGCAAGCAGAAATAGCTATAATTATATCAAGTAAAACAGACTTTAAATTAGAAACACTGAGAAAAAAAACCAAAGAAAGTCATTATATAATCATTAAAGGATCAACTCAGCAAGAGGATATAATAATTCTAAATATATACGCGACCAACATTTGAGCATCCAGGTATATAAAGCAAATATTATTAGATCTAAAGGAAGAGATAGGCCAGGCACGGTGGCTCATGCCTCTAATCCCAGCACTTTGGGATGCCAAGGCAGGAGGATCACTTGAGCCCAGGAGTTCAAAACCAGCCTGGGCAACATGGGAAGACCCCCACCTCTACAAAAGTACAAAAAATTAGCCAGGCATGATGGCATGCACCTGTAGTCCTAGCTACTGGGGAGGCTGCGGTGGGAGGATTGCTTGAGTCTAAGAAGTCAAGGCTGCAGTGAGCTCAGATTGTGCCACTGCATTCCAGCCCGGGTGACAGAGTGAGACCCTGTCTCCTAGATGGATGGATGGATAGATAGGTAGATAGATAGATAGATAGACTCCAATATAGTAATATTTGGGGACATCAACACCCCACTCTCAGTAATGGATAGATCATCTAGACAGAAAATCAACAAATAAACCCTGGACTTAAACTACACTCCAGACCAAATGCACCTAGCATTTGCCAAACATTTCATCTAACAGCTGCAAATACATAATCTTTTTTTTCCTTTTCTTTTCTTTTTGAGACGGAGTTTTGCTTTTGTTGCCCAGGCTGGAGTGCAGTGGTGCAATCTCAGCTCACTGCAACCTCTGCCTCCTAGTTCAAGCAATTCTCCTGCCTCAGCCTCCAGAGTAGCTGGGATTACAGGTACCCGCCACCACGCCCAGCCAATTTTTGTATTTTTAGTAGAGACGGGTTTCACAATGTTGACCAAGATATTCTCAATCTCCTGACCTTGTGATTCACCCACCTTGGCCTCCCAAAGTGCTGGGATTACAGGCATGAGCCACAGCGCCTACCAGAATATATAATCTTCTTATCAGCACATGGAACATTCTCCACGATAGACCACATGTTAGGACACAAAACAAGTCTTAGAAATTTTTGAAAAATCAAAATCATAACAAGTATCTTCTTGATAAAAGGAGAAACTTTGGAAACTGTAAAAACACATGGAACTTAAACAACGTACTTTTTTTTTTTGACGGAGCCTCACTCTGTCACCCACACTGGAATAGTGGTGCGATACCAGTTCACTGCAACCTCCATCTCCTGGGTTCAGGTGATTCTTCTGCCTCAGCCTCCCAAGTAGCTGGGATTATGGGCATGCACCATCACACCTAGGTAATTTTTGTATTTTTAATAGAGTGGGGTTTCACCACATTGGACAGGCTGGCCTCAAAGTCCTGGCCTCAAGTGATCCACCTCAGTCAGCCTCCCAATGTGCTGAGATTATAGGCATTAGCCATCATGCCTGGCCCACAACATACTCTGAAATGATTACTGGGTCAATGAACAAATTAAGAAGGGTATCAAATAATTTCTTGAAACAAATGAAAATGGAAACACAACATACCAAAATATATAGGACACAGCAGAAGCAGCGCTAGGAGAGAAATTGATAGCAGTAAGCGCCTACATCAAAAAAATAGAAAGTTTTCAAATAAGCAACCTAACAGTGCACCCCAAGGAACTAGAAAAGCAAGAACAAACCAACTCCAAAATTAGGAGAAGGAAAAGAATAATAACATTACAGTACAGCAAAACAAAATAGAGACTGAGAAATATTTAATTGATGAAGTTAAACATTATTTGTTTCAATGGATAAACAAAATCAATAAACTGCTAGCTAGACTCACCAAGAAGAAAAGAGAGGAGACCTAAATAAATAAAGTCAGAAATAAAAAAATGAGACATTACTCCTGAGATGTTTAATCGGCACTAGATTAAAAAAAAGAAGAAGAAAATAAAAAATGAGACATTACAACTGTTTCCAGAGACATACAAAAATTCATCAGAGACTATTATGAACAAACTATACACAAATAAATTGGAAAACCTAAAGACAATGGATAACTGGACACATACAATCTACCAATATTGAACCAGGAAGAAACAGAAAACTTGAAAAGACCCATAACGAGTAATGGAATTCAATTAGTGATAGAAAGTCTCCCAAAACCGAAAAGCCGAAGACCAGATGGCTTCACTGCTGAATTCTACCAAACTTATAAAGAAGAAATAATACCAATTTTCTCAAACTCTTCCAAAAACTGAAGAGGAAGAAATTCTTCCTAACTCATTCTATAAGGCCAGAATTACCCTGACACCAAAATCAGACAAAAACACAACAAAAAAAGAAAACAGGCCAATATCCCTGAGGAACATAGCTGCAAAAAACCCTCCACTAAATACTAGCAAACCAAATCCAGCAGCGCATCAAAAGGATAATACACCATGATCAAGTGGGATTTACTCCAGAAATGCAAAGATGGTTCAATATGCACAAATCAATAACCATGGATACATCACATCAGCAGAATGAAGGACAAAAACCATATGATTGTCCCAATAGTTGCAGAAAAAGCATTCAATAAAATTCAACATCCTTCATGATAAATATTCTTAACAAATTAGGCATAGAAGAAACATACCTCAACTTAACAAACTCCATAAATGACAAACCACAGCTATCATCATACTGAGTGTGGGAATGCAGGAATGCTTTTCCTCTAAGAACTGGAAGAAGATAAAGATGCCCGCTTTCATCACTCTTAATCCACATAGTCCTGAAAGTCTTAGCGAGAGCAATCAGGCAAGAGAAAGGAATTAAAGTAAAAGGCATCCAAATTGGAACAAAGGAAGTCAGGCCAGTCCGAAAGTAGTGAGTTACCTCAACCTCACAGTAAGTTACAAATCGAACTCCTTGTTCTACTCTTTCCCCACTTCTCACTACTGCACTTGACTAGTCTTAAAACAAACAAACAAAAAAGGAAGTCAAATAGTCTCTCTTTAGAAAAATCTAAGCACTTCACAAAAATCTCTTAGAGCTGATAAATTCACTAAGGTTGCAGGATACAAAATCAATATACGAAAACTAGCATTTCTATACACCAATAATGAATTAGCTGAAAGAAACCAAGTAAACAACCCTGGCTGGGTGTTGTGGCTCACCTGTAATCCCATCAGTTTGGGAGGCCGAGGTGGGTGGATCACCTGAGGTCGGGAGTTCGGGACCAGCCTCACCAACATGGAGAAACCCCATCTCTGCTAAAAATACAGAACATTAGCTGGGCGTGGTGGTGCATGCCTGTAATCCCAGCTACTCGGGAGGCTGAGGCAGGAGAATTGCTGAACCTAGGAGACGGAGGTTGCAGTGAGCCAAGATCGTGCCATTGCACTGCATCCTGGGCAATAAGA